AGTGATCTTTTTATAGACATGAGGTTTGAAGGATAACTTAGAATCTAAAAAGACTCCTAGCCATCTAACCTCTGTCTTAGGCTCTATAGTTGCTCCTCCTATAGTAATACTATCTGTTACTGCTATTCGCTTATTGTGGAAGTGGATAAGCTCTGTCTTTTCAATGTCGAAGGCAATGGCAGAGTGCTTAGCTGCTGTAACTAGCTCACTAGCTATCTTTTGTAGAATTCGGCAGTTTTTCTGTGCAGAGTTTGAGGCAATAGAGAAGGAAAAGTCATCAATGTAGCTTACTTTAAAAGCTACATTCCCTTCCTTTTTACAAAGTTCACTTATATAAATAAGGAACAGGATAGAGGATATAGGAGAGCCTTGTGGGATTCCTGTATTTATCTTTTCTTTGTCTTGTATTTGCCCATTAAACTGTAGCTATAGTTCTCTATCTTCTACAAAGGAAGCAATCCACTTTATTAGGCCAAGTGGTAAACCTAGCCTAATGCAAATAGATAGAAGTTGGTTTTTAGAGACATAGTCGAAGGCTCCCTTTATGTCTAATAGGAGAGTAGAGACTATCTTCTTTTTCTGCTGTTTGCTCTTCTCAATGATAGTTGAGAAGCTAGATAACTAATATTGCCCACGATATCTAACTATGCCTTAAGTATCTCGAAAATCTTATGTGATTTCTTTTTATTACGACCCTTAATATTAACACCTGTGTAAATAGCATTACAAAGGTTTTCCTAGACTATGTTAATAACCTACTAAATATCTAGATTCTAACTCTTGCTACAAGGAAGGTTCATTAGAACTTCCCTACCTAGAAAAGCCTAACAATTAAGCGCATAAAGGTATGTTGTTGTTGCAAGTTGCTTAATCTAAAAGCTAACTAGACATAGATCTATATTAAGAGAGTAATTAAAAAGGATCTGTATAGACTTCTAGAGACTGTCTTTGATTATAAGTGGCTTAGAGTTATTTTCGACTTCTAGTAGAATGCTTTAGACTTTATTAAAGTCTTCTATTTCCTTAATAGCTACATAGATATTAGTAAATTAAACAGGAGAGCAAAATAGTAGTGCTAAAGTAAGTTTAATTCTCCCTTGTTGCTCTTCTTTTGCATCGCTAATATAGTTTACTCTAGCAATCTTTGCGAACTTTGCTGCTAGTACTAAGCTTGTAATAGATGTTGAAATGAAGTGGCTAACATACAATAAACTTTACATCTATGCTTAGCTTTCTAAGAATTTCTGCTTAATTGTTAACAATGATGCTTTAACGAAGATGCTAGCTAGGTTGTTAGACTTTTGTATTATGAGCCACTACAATTAAATAAAAAAAGAAGATGAATAATGCACCTAAGCTCTTTAATGCTAATAACCATGCTATGTATGGTGCCATTTACCTAGCTCCTAAGGTGTCAGATTTGATGGTATCTGAAGATGTCACGGTGACAGAAAGATTGAATGAAGATGGGTTGACTGATTGTATTCAGGTGTGTGCTTATGTGTGTAAGGCTGGGGCCTGATACCAGTTTTGATGTTCCTTCTCTGGGTACCAAGGCTGCGCAGGGCACTAGCCACTGCAGAATCACTAGCCACATATCCTCAGACAGTACCAGTACAGATACCTTCTCCCAGTCCTCCTCTCCAGTCCCAGATGGGATGTCCATAAACTGGCTTATCATCTGACAGATGTCTATAAACTGGCTTATCATCTGATATAAGGATATGGATAATGAGGATAATATCTTAGGCAACAGGAATAATTCTTACAGTAGAGAAAACCTTTTTGTTAAGGAGGAGTAATTTAACTTAGGCATTTTAGGAGATGTACTTCTTCCCATTCTTTCTTTTGCTTCTCTCTCTTGTTATACATGTTTATTATACTATAGTGTATCTTTTTTAAGGTTCTAAGGGTTTAAGTAGGATGCTGTTATAGTTTAATAACTTTTATGCTTCTAGTATTTGTTTTAGAGGTCGTGTTTCTAACCCTGTTTAACTTTAAGAAAACTTATAACGATAATAATTTATGCTAGACATATAACATATTCTATCATCGAGATGGACAAACCATCGAGATGGACACTTTGCCAAGATAACACGACTACCAATTCCAACATGACATGACTAGATCACACAATGCAGAATCTATCCAAGAAGAAGGTCGAATAATTCTTGCCCTTCAAGCAATTGAATAGAGAACAATTTATAGCCTCCGGAATGCAGCGTGTATCTTCAACATCAAGTTATCGACTCTCTATAACCGACGCGCTGGGATTGCATCACGACATGATTGTGAGCCAAACCGAAAGAGCCTTACATGCGCTGATGTCAGATGGTAAGCTAGTTTATGAACATCCCATCTGGGACTGAAGAGGAGGACTGGGAGAAACTGTCTGTACCGGTACT